GCAGCAAAGCTTTTCTAAAGAAACGTTTCCTAATTTAAAAATGCAAAGATTCAACCTTTGACCCCCACCAACACTGAGCTGCACAGCAGCTACTCAGTTTGGATCTGAAGGTTTCAGCTGGTTCACTAAATACTTATCAACTGTGTAACTTTACAAACTTAGTACTTAGTTAGCAAGAAAAACATTTAGTTTACAGCTGAATTTAGTTTGAAACTGTGACATTTAGAGATGAATGACTGACATGGTAAAGATGTGACTGAAAATTCAACCCCATTTCTTCTTATGACTCAATAACTCAAGTTATTGCTGCTGATCTTTGGCTGTAAATTTACGAACTCAAAAGCTGAGAATGAAGCGCAGCAGCCAGAAAGACGACCTTCCAGTGAATCTGCGTCATTTCATTTCCAGCTGGACGACTGGACAGAAATGCAGATTCTTCCTGATGATCTCGTTTGAAGCTTTTCTGAATGTTTTAGTTTTTTCCCTGGTTTTCCATCTTCTCCTCCTCTAAGCTTCTCGGCCGCCCAGGTAGACGCAAATGCGCCTGAAAACTTCCAAATCAATCTTTAATAGTTTTTCTTTCTGCCTCAGCTGACGCGCATCACCAGTTTTGATGGTTCATGGTTCCCATTACGACCAGCCCAACGTGTCCAGCGTCCGGCCTGCACTCGCCTCCCGTCTGTCTCTCCCAGCCAGAGAAGGAAGGAAACGCAGTTAAAAGCCCAGATTTTCATTCCTGTGCTTGAGCAGCAGGAAAAGCTTGAGAGGCTGAGTGGAGGACTCCATATGCTGCTGTCATGTTCCCTGATCATTAGGATGAATGGCGGCCGTGGCGCTGTTAGCTTAACTTTCTGCCATTTCCTGCTGCTCCTCAGGAGAGACTTATGTGGAGACGGAGGACTTCCTCAGCTCTCACACGTCTTCCTTACAAAGATGCAAAGCTTTAATGGCACCAAAATGTTCCTGGATTTGCATCGATATCAAAGTGATTTGGACTGGAGGTCGTTTTTGTTTTCGGGGCTGAACTTTGTGCTGGTTGGTAGTTAATGAGCTGAACATTGAGCCGCGTTCGCTGAAGGACAAATCAGGGCTTTAACATGAGAACACAAACCGAGAGAAGAAAGAGAAACAGGTATTAATTGCAGATTACGTCTCCATTAATCTGGATTGGGAGGACTCTCAGGTTTCATTAACTCTGCCCTTGAAACTAAAACAAAACATTAAGGGAAGTTCGTGAGGGTGAAAGATTTTTCCACACACTTATGCATCAAGGTTTCTGTGTCCTTCATGAAATAAAAGATGAAAGAAGAAAAACTTCAATGAAGTTAAACTGGAGACTTTAATGGCTGATTTAAATCCACTTCTCTGTCATTTTCACACCACTGAGTGTGAAAACCTGGAGATGAAACATATTGCTGGAAAATACCAAAATGTTTTCACTAATAAACAGAAAATCCACAGTCTCTGGTTCATGTTTCATATGCAGAAAGTAAAACTAACAAACCGTAATTTGACTCCAACTGATTCCAGGTATTGAAAAATTCAGCTTTTTACGTGATGAACTTGAAGTAACCGCGGCTCAGCTGGACATCGATTAACTTCCTTCTATTCAGGGAAAACGTGAAATATTTATTTCTTCTTACAGCTGCAATATCGACCTTTAAGGTGAGCGCTGAGTGGCTGGTGTGCGTGTGTGTGTGTGTGTGTGTGTGTGTGTGTGTGTGTGTGTGTGTGTGTGTGTGTGTGTGTGTGTGTGTGTGCGTGTGTTTGAGCTGCAGAGGGAAGGTTTTTGTGCACACAGCCAGTTTTACAGTTGATGTGAGGTTCTAATTTATAATTGATGTCTCTCCATTCAGTTTGCTTTGAATGTAAAAGTGTAAACTGCAAACACACACTGACCATCAAAACTGACGGATTAAACTTTAATATTTTACACAATGATTTCATTGTTTTTGGGGAGAAGCTTATCACACTTTTCTCTCAGAGCATCGTACAAGTTGAACAAAAAAAAAACAGCCAAACAAAAGAAATACATTTTGGTCTCATCTTATGAAGTGTTTAAATGCCAGAACCTGAAAATAAGCATCATTATCTCATTTTCATTCATTGTAATGAGATGCTGCTGCATCTGACTTATATGGAAGCTTTTAAATACCAAAACTTGGAAATAAATTAATTGACCTTAACCCACTTTTTTTTTAAATTAGAAACACAAAATTGTTTCTACAGAACCTGCATCTCGTTACGAGACACAGAACCTCTTAAAATGAGAAATGACACATTAACATCCCAACAGGTTTGACTGTTTTCATTTTAAGACTTTTCTTATTTATTTTTGATAAATATCATATTTTGATAAATCTCATGTTTTGATAAATCTCATACCTCCCTATAGCAGTAAAGTTTGTCATCATGACGAGACTCTGATGTGTTTCTCAGCTCTGGTGGTTAAACACCTTGATTGATTGGGAAATGACTAATATAAATATGAAACACCTGTGTTTCCTCAGCCTGCTGTGAGAGAAACCCAGTCGGTGTGATCGCGGCTCTGGTTCTGATGTGATCATCATGGAGTCGCAGGAAGATGTAATTTAGTGCCTGGATGACAAGAACAATTAATTGTTATAAATGTCCACCGAGTCGCTTGGTTTATGAGGATCTGATGTTGGCCGTAAACATTATGCACACCGCTGGTTTCCCTTAAAGCAGGACGTTTCGCTAACATTTCCATTTTTATTGCCGCCCATTCTGGGTTGATTCAAGCGGAAAGCAACGTCAAGTCTCAACTAATTTGTTGACCAAACATTTCCTTTAGCAGCAAAGCCATCTGCATAATGACACACTGGCCAAAGGGACGTCTGCTTTATTTAATTTCACACTATCTGAGTCTGAATTTTTACACATTTTGCTGACATAACAAATACTCTGACTATAAATGACAGCGAGTTTCTTAGTTTAATGTCTAGTTCTGTAATCTGCCAGCAATAAATAACGAATCAAAATATCCGGGAAAATGAAAGCAAGTTTTGACACCAAAAGTTATAGTTTGACATTTTAAAAGCTGCATTTATTCCACCATCTTTTCTTGAAAAATATATCTGCCTGCAGGAGCCAAAGGCCGAAATGTAAATGAATGAAAAACTATAAATATTCAAGTAGTAAAAGTGACTTTTTAAAATATATTACAACTGGGAGATTTGGCCTCTGAGCCGTTTCTGAGCCTCAGCCGGTGAGTCTCAGCGCTAAAAGCTTTTGTCCTTCCCTCTGAACGAGGCGGGACAGAGAGGACTTCCTGTCCTGCAGAAACGTCCTGCAGGTTTTCACTCCAGATCCACTCAGTAAAATCTAATTAGTTCACCTCACTTCACAGGAATCCACTCAAATCAACATGTTAATTCGTGCAAGCTGAGCTTCTTACGTTTAAATGACTCGTTTAAACTTCATAATTCTTGTTGCATTTCTGCTAAAAACGAGCGAATAAACCAACGCAGCTTCATTCCTCATGAACTGGCTGCACAGATGAAGCTCTGGACGTTTTCATCTTAAACATCTTGAAATAATTTTATGAAAATAACTGGTTTATTTAGTTACTGTGGCCCAATGCATTGTGGGAAACGTTGCTGGCCAATCCCTACTGTCATAAACCAAACGCCTCAACAGAATCCATGATTGCTTCATATAAAAACTGATGAAGTTATGCTGTGATTCAAGCACTGCAAACCTAGAATAACTTGAAACATTTTGTTTAGCTGCACATTAACTAAATCGCAAGAACATGTTGACATTATAAGTTATATGCAAATAATGTATTTAGTCCAGACTTTTCCATGCTAAACGACGATCTCAAACTGAAGTGAAGTTTCCTCTGAAATGCAGTGAAGGAGGAAAAGAATAAAAAGTCAAGTGAAGCAGTTTGAAACAAGCAATTATAAAAACCTGCTCTTTCTAAAAGTGTCGATCAAACTGATATAAGACAACTTTCAATGAAATGCAATGTTTTTATTTCCAGTGCATGTTGATCAAACGGCCTCTGTCTGCAGCTCTGTCTGCAGCTCTGTCTGCAGCTCTGGCTCTGTCTGCAGCTCTGTCTGCAGCTCTGTCTGCAGCTCTGTCTGCAGCTCTGGCTCTGTCTGCAGCTCTGTCTGCAGCTCTGTCTGCAGCTCTGTCTGCAGCTCACGATGCGCTAACCGAATCCAGGAAATGAAACCAATAAAAAAGCAGAATAAATGTGATCTTGATGTGATTTTTGTTCTGGTGAGACAACAGAACCTGATCTCAGGACATTTGATGCTCCATCGCAGCAAAACAGCCAGAGGTCAGCAGAGGTCAGCAGAGGTCAGCAGAGGTCAGCAGAGGTCAGAAGTAACTTGTTACAGTAACTTGAGTTTTATTATAAAGTTTTGCTACTCGATCCTCAACCACTGAGTAAATTCACTGCATGAGAACCAAAAAATCACCAGTTTTATTCTGAAAGAACTGATTTGGAAACAGTTTGCAGTTTTTGACTCGACTTTTCTCAGATTTTTTCCCTGTAATTTCTTGAACGGATATTTTTCACTTTTACTGGAGAGAAAAAAACAGTGAACAGTGTCTGGGTTTATTATCATCCAGCTGCATTTCTACACACATGATAGTAAAAACCAAAATAAAAGCAGGAGAAACTCCCTGGAGCCGCTGCTAAGCAACCGAGGCAGCATTAATGTGTGCAGTGGGGAAGGAGCAGGAGAAACCTCTGGCCTGGCAGGGAAAGCAACCAGGACAGCATCAGCGTGAGCCGACTGGGTCCTGAAGCTGCAGCAGCAGCAGGAGCAGCAGGAGCAGCAGGAGCAGCAGCAGCAGCAGCAGGAGCTGCAGCAGCAGGAGCAGCAGCAGCAGCAGCAGGAGCAGCAGCAGCAGCAGCAGCAGCAGCAGCAGCAGCAGCAGGAACAGCAGCTGTAACCTCCTCCGCTTCCTTTTCCTCCTCCTACTTAAATCCAGTGTTCATCTTCTGCCAACACAAGGAGACACATCCAAGTGGAGAAAGATTCACTTTTTCTGTGTGAAACACTCCAAAGCCTCAAAATGAGCCAAACATCTGAGAAAGTTTAGCTGAGAGGAAGCAGAGGAAACGCTGACAGCTTCTCCTGGTTGGAGACAAAAGAAGATGAAAACATTCACATGAAGCGGCTCGGCTCCTCTCCACCCCCGTCTCACATCCACTGACTATTCTTCAACTTGACATCATCCTTCCACAGACTGGAGGAGGACAGCGGAGCGAGAGGCGGCGGCTCAGCGCTGAGGGGGGAAGTGACAGCGGCTGAAACTTGGCGACCAGTGAGATGAAATTTGCGGCGGAGACGCTGGAGCGCAGCAGGAGCCGCCGTGCAACCAGAGAGCCGCGCCGGGCAGAGAGGCAGCCGACCCGGAGGAGGAGGATGAGAGGGATGGAGCTTCCCACCAGCTGCCAGCGGTGCGCTGTAGGACGCCGCCCCCCCCCAGCATGTCCACGCTCCTCCTGATGCTCTGGCAGGTAAACACTTCATCTGCACTTCTGACACATTTCATGATTAATGTGGGACATTTGCATGAATCACTGAATCAAACTTTGCTGTTTTCATTTTACTTTCTGAGTGAAAACAAGTCAGATCAGACTTTCTAAAATATTACATCATTTTATGCATCAGATTTGACTTTTTGTTCACATCGAGTTCAGAGCGATCCAGTTTTATCATGAGTGCCACTTTCCACTCAGCCCCAGAACGCCGGGCAGAAAATGGGTCAAGCGGGCGATTAGTTGGAGTTTTTTCTGATTCTCCTCATGGAGCAGAGGAGGAATGAGAGGCGTCTGCTGGGTGTCATCCAGCCGGGAGGGGCTGGGAGCTGTTTGCTTTATTTCCATTGTAAGACAAAACCAACCTGAGCCTGTCAGAGCGGCTGCAGCTGCTCCACATGCTGGGTTATTCAAGTGGTTGCAGGTTTGATTCTCTGATGATCCGACCCGGCTCTCCACTGGGGCAGAGCAGGCGACCAGGTATGACTTCATGTGCTTTGACCTCCTGCTGGTTTTATTTCAGGATCCAAATCTTTGATCTTCATTAGTGATGGGACTTGCTTAAAACTTATTGAAAGATCTCCAATTAATTCATCACATTTTAATCAAAAATGATTTATTGATAAATTAGCAACATTTTCAATTCAGAAAACTGGATTATAGAAATGAACAGACATGAGTTCAACGACAATCTTTATCTTTTCCAGGAAGTGCTGATCACTCATGGAGCCTGACATTAGCATTAGCTGCTATATGTTTAGCATTGAAATGCTATTTTAGGTTTGAATGACTTCGCCGATAAGCTGTGAAACGTCGTCGTCCATTGTTGTTCTCAGCAGATCTCAGTTGTGCGTCAAATTTATGGCCGTAGTGGAAACGTGAATATAAAGGTTCCAGGTGGAACCAACTGCAGCCATGACAGCAGCTTTTCAGCTGATTTCATCTGTAACTTTTCTCCCTCTTCACTGTTTGTAGTTTTTTCTGAGTTCTTGTTTAGATCGTCTTCATGCATCCAGTGCAGCACACAACAAGCTGCTCAGTTTGTTTAGTTTAGCGTCGTCCCAGGAGACGCCGTCAGAGAGCAACGTGTTTCCCTGCCAGGCAGGACAGAAACGTGTCTGGATGTTACGCTGC